TCTTTAGCTTGTAACAGATAATAGTCTCGACGTATATATCAATGGACCCTATTCACCATATCCCACAAATTCTGCACTTGTAACAAACGAGCTGTTACGCTGAGAATTTAAAGCGACAGCTTGATAACGAATTTTTTCTTCAATATTATTTCTGTATGCAATTTCAAGTTCACATTTACAATATATTAAATATTTATATATATATATATATATATATATATATATATATATATAATCTAATAAAAAAAATTTCAGGATAAATTTTTTTTATTAATAAATAATAAATGTTTTACGAACAATCTGACAAAATTTGATTCTTGGCTAAAAATCAAATATAAATAAGAAAGCAAATTTATATAAGCAATTTATATTATTCTAATATACAATAATAATAGTTAATACTATCAATATAATCATAAAATGTTACTCTTTAATCATGACAATTCGATAAGAGAGTACAATAATCCCAAAATATGGAAATAAGAAAACACACAGAGATGCTGGGACAATGAAAACAGTAACGGTTACGTAGGACGTCCCAGGGCAAGCTACCCGCAAACGGAATCGCAGATGAATGACGATGGCGAGAATTGTCATCCGGAACGACCGGTTAACACATCGTTGTCTCTGTCATCGATCTGCCTCGTCCAATAACACATCCAGTAGACGAGATTTATATACCTGCGGTTTCCCCAGCCTTTTACCGATAAACCCACTATTTAAAGTATAAAATTTTGACACCATTGAATGCTTCGCGACATAAAACGGTCCTCTAAGCAAACTAATTTATTCCTTTTATTCTTTTTATTCTTAATATTAATGTTACATTATTGTTTATTATTTATCTTATATATGAATAGATTTATTTATATTACATATATGTGTGTGAATATTAATATTTTCCTCTTATTTTATGTTTATATAATGAATCTAATTATTTTTCATTACGATTAATCGTGAGCGATTATTATTAATCGTTTGATGCGAAAGAATATTTATATCTCTATCTGATACAACCGCTGTGAAATAATAATTCATTGGATACAAAGATAAATATATTCGTACCTGATAGAAACTAACCGTTGAAGCTAGAGCTACAAATTATTTACGACGCGGCGCGAATAGCACCACGAACTTTACGATTACCCGATGAAGCGTATAATTTGATTTTTTTTTTATGGCACGGTACCGAGATGAGGCCAGATTGTAAGTGCCAGATGGAATGCAAATTAGGTCCTCATTTGCCTGTTGCTAAGTTTCGAACTAATCTGATAGTAATATCCTTAATCAAAGCAGAGAAACTAAAAATTTATTATATTAAAAAAAGAGAGAGATCACGTATGTATCCAGATTGCAAATCTTTTTCTAATATTCTTTTTTCAAAGAATAAATAATTACAATTAAATTTTCAAGCTTTGAATGTTTGAACATTATTAATAATTATTAATAATATAAATAATAATGAATAATAAATATAATTATTAATAAATAAATAATAATTTAATAAATATATTTATTAATAATTATTAATAAAAAACCAATTATTAAAAAAAAAAAAAATTAATAAACAATTTAAAAAATTTTACATTTAGAAAAATCTAAATGAGATAAATCAATATATTGGTAAAAGATTAGAGATTTGCTAAGAAAATATTAGATACAAGAGAATATTTTAATCGTTAGATCTGGATAAAATTTCGAAAATGTTATAATATAACATTTAATTAAATAATGAATAATACAGATCATATATTATTTCACATATATAATAGTATGTTCCCGAGATTTAATCCTCTAAACACATCTTTTCGTTGTTGCATCTCGCGCGTGTTACGTTAATTGGAATTCAATTAAAGTGCCGATACGCTCAGGATCAAGCAATATGTATCGTTAATCTTAGGTATAACAACGCGTTCGAGGATCGCGTCGATCTTGCTTTGATCAAAGACACGCGGAACGTGTCAGTAAGATTCGTTTAAGCGCAATTTGTATTCAATTATTTCATCAGCTTATCTCGTGGCGATACCGAATTGGTCGTAAAACGCGGTATTACGGAATTCGTCTCGCGAGAAATATCGTAATTAAAATGTCGAATAATCGCTGTGTACAACATTCGATACAGCACAGCGATATTCATCAGATATTCAGATATGCATTCGATATTTTACATCCATAAATAAATGTTTTATATTTACTAATATTGTTTCTTTCTGTTTTTTCGTAGCAATCACTTTATATGAATCATACATGTTATATATGCGACGAAAAATAAAAAAAATTTTAGCCTTATGTAATCTACTTCTTTTCCTATTCAATAGCTTCTCTGTATAAAACATAAATAGCAATTGGCGACAATTGTTTAGAAATCTGAATATCATGGAATACTTGGAAATCTCAAGTATTTAAAAATAAATGGAAGAAGCACAAAGTGTGACGCTAATTCGCTTAATTAAACTCGTTTTATTTTTTTTTATATGGGCCAATGGACGTGCTGTCTTGTTAATAATATACTATCTCTCGCATCTCACGAAGAGAGCGAATGCCGATCGTCAGGCATCCTCGGCGGTGTCGTGCTTAATTCGATCATCGATCGTCGGGCGTGGATTCCACGCGCGTCCGCGTTTAACATCTTACCTGAGAGGCCCCCGACGATCTTGCATCGAATCACGATCGATGGGATTGACGGCGATCTCTAGATCGCGAGAGCGCGGATAAAGGAGGGGGGGCGCGGGGAACCAGATCGAAAGATGATCGGTCGCGGCCCGTCGTGGCAGTGAGGCTTTAATTAAGGCAACATATAGCCACTAATATTCGACGGACAGTGTCAATCTGTCAAGCTACCATAAGACATCGATCTGATAGCGGGTCCTAGAGACCGGCACAGTCTATTGGACATGCTGTCTTCGATTTGCTTGTCGTGGCCAATCATCCAGAATTAATATATCGGACGGTTAACCGCGCGAGCGACCGAGTCACGCGGACAGCTTCACTTTTCGTCAAGCGTTTCGAGTTAAGGTTTACCTTGTGGAGAAAGGAAGAGAAAAAAAGATATTTGATTATGTATGAGTCAATCGATCGATGATCGAGATGAATTTCGTTCACGCTTGTGTACCGATTCTCGCAGTCCACAATTTAAATGCATTGATATGTTTAAGTAAAAAGATCGAATAATAATATTCGTAAAAGTACATTGCAATCTCGAATAAAATTAGATCGAAAATCGACATCTCTTGCGCTAAATTTGTGAAATATATTCGATAAAATATATAATAATAGTATACAGTTTTATTTCTGTGTAAAGAACGCATATCTTTATAAGAGATAATAAATTGGAAATATATAAATGTTTTAATTAATGTTTTACAAACAATTAAAATAAGATTTAATAAAATTATTTTATATCTCATGCAATTGAAGAAAAAAATAATCTGACGTCTATATAAACGGAAAATTATATTTATATAAATGTAATTCCTCTTTTTTATTTAATCGTATCTTTTTATTTATCATATTATCATTTATCAAGAATATCCTTTAAGAATTCACAAAGTACTACCGAGGTCACGCGAATTGCCACAGTAAAATTTTTCTCCTTTTTGTAATGGTACACTAATCATCTTTATTTTTTGATATAAGTCATTGACGACGAAACAAGCAAGTCATCAAGAATCAATTAGTTAACGGATGATAATGACATGAACGCGGATAAAGACATGAATGATCTATAATTGACATAGTTCCTTGAACTTCTATTTCCCAACATTCCCATCAGTACCATCATTGGTAATGGCAATTATCATTATTATCATATTACTACACGTTGCTATTTGCTGTGACACTTTACGGTTTTATTTCATAGTTGTATATGTGTCGAAACGGTCCCAACATTAAAGACAGTAGTTATTATCTCTCTTTTCTAGCCACCGAAATTATACATCTAAGAGATCTTCCCCATTAAGGTTAATTTAAAAATAATTACCACTTATTCGCGCACGTCTATAATATATCTAGACTTAAGAGTCAAACATGGAATAAACTTATAAGACATAAAACGTTACAATGAAAAATATATATGTGTAAATATCAATTTTTTAAAAAATATTTCTCCCTTTTTTTCCCTCCCAATATTTTTACAAAAATATATTTCTTTTGTCACATATATCATTTTTGAAGAAACTAAATGTGAATATAATTGAAATACAAGTGTAAAACATAATATAAGGAACATAATGTTTAATAACATGTTATTATTTTTTTATCGATTATCCGAAACACGAAATATCAAAGCTATTATGTGCATCGTGTTTTACGATCGTTAATACACTCGAATCGGTATAGAGTGGTCAACGTCAGGCTCCACACGCGGAGAGGTACCTTACAGGCCTCGCACGTAGAAAGGTCCTTAAAGGTCCTAAAGAAGTAGCCCATTCTGGAGGTGTGCCGATCGGGTACCGGCATTTAATCGTAACGAATCGCCCTCAGGGCCCGTAGGGGAGTGTGTAATCGACATCCGGTTCGCCTAATGTCGAACGAGTAGCGCCCTGTAATCTGCCGCTAGTGTGTGCATTGTCGTGCACAGGCCCCTTTCTCGCTCCTGAAAAGGGCTCCATGGGACCCGAAATCCTTTTCTCGGCGAGAGGGCGAGGCCGGTGCCCGGAATAGAGCTCGACCTTGCGCCCATGACTCGCGAATAATGCGACCGGATTCATGAATTATTACGGGATCAGGTATCTGACGTACGTAAAGGATCTAAATTCACGTGAATGTTTAATTTGCTCCTTTCGTTTATATAAACGAGAAGTCGTATTTAGTAAAATAAAGGAGAAAACTCCTGCTTCATATTCATTAGAACAGGTCTATTAAAAAATCGTGATCTGTCGAATGATAAATATAAAAGCTTGAATTTATCTCTAGAATTAATCACTTTTAAAATTGTGGGTTTATAAATCTGTTATTTGAAATTTTTCATCAAAAATTTTGTACAACTTGACGAAACTTACCGCGAAGCAGCATCTTCTTGAGAGATCTCCTGATGGTCGTACAGTTCCACCTCCGATTCCGAAACTGGTATTGACATTCCCTAGTGCCTACTTGAACACCTTTCGCAATCTCTTTCAACAGGGATGGTTCTTTACGACAAATGTCAGCGAGTTTCCCCTTTAGCCTCCGTGTTTTCTTGCAGACGAGCATCGGATCCATGACCAGTGTGCTTCCTACGGTCCTGTAAAAATAAACACATTGATGAAAATAGTACATTAATATCGATTAATAGACAATTTATCGATATATAGACAATTTTATTAACTAAAAATTAATCAAAAATTTAACTTTCATAAATACATTTTGTACATCTATTCAAAAGTTTGATAATTTCTTAGTAATATTATTTGAAATATATTAATACAACGTCTTCCCATAAAAAAAATAAAGTAACTTCAACGTGAAAAATTAAAATTTGCGGTCAATACTCGAGACAGATAGATCGATAAAATATTAAATAGAACGATATATTGTTGCAAAATAGCGATAAATTCAGATTTTCTTCAGCCGCTAAGGGGAAGATAATTTACGAAAGCTACAAATTCTGTTGGCGTGATGTCAGCCAAACTATCGGTTATTTAGCCGCGCGATATCTTTCGGATCGCAATGTCAGATCGTAGACAGAAGAGATGATTTTACGCTCGTGCAAAATTAAACGGAACGTTTCTCCGACGTCGTTCCTTTTATTGTTAGAACTCGGTAGAACTTCGATAGCTTTATAACCGGTGTTGTGTCTCGTCGCAGCTCTGATCCTCGCGATTAATCGCATACGCGTTTGGAATCAGAATTTATTTCTCTTTAAGCGCATAACCACCGTGTCTCATAAATCAATCAAGTTTCGCCATTTATAGAGAATTCGCATTTATTTTATTATTACCTGAGAAATTTATCATTCCCAACATATTCCTTAATGCTGTTAATTTTTCATTTTTCGCATTTGTTACATGACTAATTAAATCTTGCATTCTAATGAGTTACATAATATAATAGAACAATAAATTGGCAAGAAAAAAACTTTAAATTCCTGTATATTTTTTTCGAGTCTAGTTTCCTTTCCATGATCAATTTAATAGGAGTAATTTATCACGGTAACAATGAGTGAATTATAGCAATTGTATTGAGATGTCATGCAATTGCAATCGACACAATGTAAAATTATGCTGACGAAATTCGTTATTCTCGAGTTTTATAGTGTTCTTATTCTTATCTTTTTTTTCATTCTGAATATATATCAGACATCTTCAGCCATCTGACAGTAACAAATTTTATTACGATAATCAATGATTGAACGACGGAATGGAAAAAAATGATGAAGAGTAATAAATCATGATTGCATTCCGCGAAGCTGCGGAATTGTAACGAGTGAGACAAGGAGATTTGCGATTCCACGTTATGATTTTTAACGAGAAAGAAAAAATTAGTGACAAAGGAAAAAAAGAAGGGCGATAATGCCACGCGAATATAAGTGCAATATTCGAATTTAAACACGTTTTAAATTTGAACGCTATTACGAATTAAAGCTCCGGTGCATCGTATTCATAGCGACGTAATCAATCCTATGAACGAAAAAGAAAGTCGTAAAAAGGAGAGAAATGTTTCCGAGGGGAGAGACAGACGATCTAGAAACGGAAAGAACCAACGAGTGTGCCGAGGGTGCGAAGAGTGCAGGAGATAGTCGGATGATTGCACTGGGAGTACAAAAAAAAATGAAGAATAAAGCGGAATGGACTCCGAGTGAACACACGAGCGGTGGGAACTACGAAGTTGAGGAGGACGACTTGGAGGCAGAAAAGTACCAGGAGAAGAGAAGTAGGAAGATGAGCGAGAAAGAAGCGCGGACGAGCACGAAGGCGGAAAGGTAAGGAGAGAAACGATTACGGGCGCAGGGTGGGAAGAGAGAAGAAAATGGAGAGAAGAAGAAAAAGAAAGAGGGGACAGTCTGGGCGACCTTCGTTACGAAACGTTAATTAAGATCATTAGTTCTGCGTCGGTAGGATGCCGGGGTGCGTACACACACGACGGCCTCTCGGGAATGCAACGACCTTAATGGCAATAATTCCGTTAAGGACGGTTGCTCGCGCTGCCCGACGTACCCCTCGCTCGTCCGCTTTTCGTTCTGCACGAACGGGGAATAAGAAGCGATGGAGATAATACGACGTGGAGAGTCGTGCACGAGAGTGACATCGTCATTTGGGCGAAGAGAATTGCTACCTCTGAGAATGGCGACTATAACCGAGAAACGACGACGACGAGGAGGACAAGAACGGTAGACGAGACGATACGCAAACGGAAATTCATGAGAAATTCCTCGATCTCGAAGAGCAATTTCGTGAGCGAGATAAAGAGACAGGAAGAGATATAGGCATAAAAGAGAAAAAAAGTCTTTCTCTCTCTTTTTCTTTCTTTAGAGCAAAATATAGCGAATGTAATGTCTCGCGGGACGATCAGACCCACTGACAGACTACAAGCTGCAGGAACTTCGACTTGTCGATATTCCTCTTTAGGACCCCGGTCCCGATAGAGTCTGACGTACGACAAGCATCGACGCTTCTTCTGCTGCGAAGATTCTCCGAAAGAAACGATATTTTGCTCGTAACGAAAAATATTTTTATATATATTATTCTAATCATACGAGAAAATTTATTAAAATTTATAAAAATCATACAAGATGATCGTATAATATATTTCTATATTTTTCTCCTTTCAAGTGTAATTGTAATTTTTCATCACGCGCGATCTCAAATGATTTATTTTTTAACATCCTCAATCTTGTATCTTATATGTATTTTCCTCTTAGATCACAACCAGCTGTTGCGAAGTCTTCTTAGAATTAATGCATGTACTATTTCTCGAGTCGGCATCAATTTGCGCGAGAATGCAAACTTCTAGACGCATGATAATGAATGAGCGACATAGATATAGCTCTTCCGAGAAAAGTCGCACTATGCGCTTGTACGCAAGAAGTTAAACATTACTGTCTTAATATATAGTAATATATAGAAATTAAACATATATATTATATTAATTGTGACGATGTAAAAGTTTTACAATGAATTTTATGAGAATGGACAAATGTACAAATATGGACATGTCTGCTGAGAAGATAGTAAACATTTACGTGCAACTTTTTTTTTATATGCATGACTTATTTAAATAAATTTTTAGATTTTCTGCAAAATTATAGTTTACATTTAATTTCTGGTCGTATAAAGATATAATACTTATATAGCTAATTTAAGATATAATATGCTGATAAGCCAGGCCTCTAAATAGCTTAATAAAACGATATTCATATTTAAATATTGCTGCGCGGTTATAAATGTGTTGCCATGAATTTTATGATCGCGTTAAGACGTTCTCAATCGGTTACGAGATTTCTGTTGGAATACGCACATGACCCAAACAATTTAAAAATAGCGATTTATTAATCGTGGATCGAAGTGTAAAAAAATAAATTAAAATAAAACTCGGTGTCGCACTCTATAAAAATTCATCATGATATCATCGCACTAATTTTTTATCGGCTTGATTAATTTCTGATGATAGTTTTCGCCGGAATAATGTATGCTGCGAGTAACAGACAGAAGTAACCTCTAGACGAAGGTTTATTCGACCTTTTCGCTTCAAAGATCGTTTCCTAGTGGCCGTACGTATTTCACTCTGGTTAGTCAAATAAACGGCAAGATCGCTGCGCATCGATACTAAAAGATCAATCTTCGGGTAATAAAATTACAACGTTATAGCAAACACGTCGCGTTTGATGAACACCGCTCATGCGAACGTTTTACACCCGCGACTATTAATATCGCCGAAGGCGAATTAATGGCGGTTGAAATGGTCAGGAGCTACATTGCTATTCGTCTTCCATCCGTGCCGATTGCGAGTTCATAATTTTCTACAGATTAACATTATTCATTTGTATTTATATCAACGCTTTATTCATTTCATTTAAGATTTTAATTGTCAGGAATGTATATTTTAAAAATAATAAAAAGAGAGAAAAAAATATATAGAATAAAAATTGAGATTAGGAAGAAAAAATTTTAAATCTCAGATAAAATTATGTTATCTAAAAGATAAGTAAGCTGATTTGAATAAAAATATTGTAAGATCCAAAAAAATGTATTTATCTATAAATAAAATTACTAACTCTTTGTTCATGAAACATTTAATTGTGAGAAAATGTTGACGTATGAATTTTTAAAACATCGAACAATGCATTTAAGACGAGTATATTGTCAACTATCGCTTTGGAGATGACAATAAAAACAAAAATCACTGACAAGCACTAACGTGCCGAATTTAAAAACGCAACGAATTTAACAATCCTGTCAATCACGTGCTTAGTATTTCTTTTCTTGCGAAGCAACCTTCGCAAAATATCGCGGGATCCGCTATACTAGACGAAAAAACGAGGGAAGACTTGGTTTAATCGACGACAATCGAGTCAGCGAAACGTCTAAAGGGTAGGAGAAGAAGACTCGACTAGAATCGAGGAGATGGGCCCCACCTCGCGTACGCGGAGGCAAGAAAAGAACTCGATGGACACGTCGCGAACGAAAAGCGTGGAGAGGCCGGTTAGAGCGGTCGACTTATTTATTGCCTCATTAGACGCCCTCACTTTGCTCGAAGGCAGCTCCACGCTGTCTGCTCGGATAGACAGTGACGAGAGCAACGTTGCTGGCCTCTTTCGGTCGACCGGCCGGTTTGCAGAATGAACGGCGAATGGAGAAGAAAGAAGGAGATCGCGAGAGAAAGAGAGAAACGTCTGCCATAGAACGGGAAAAAGAAAAGGGATCGCTTCTCTCAGCGAATGAGTCCGCGAAAAGAAACAAGAGAACAAGAAGACAAGTTGATAGGCTTACAGGTAGATTCCTCAAATATTTTGCACGATCGTAAATAAAAATTAGGACAGGAAAGTCACAGGAGAAAATCCGAAATTTCAAGTTTATCATTACTTTAATTTTATATCATATACTTAATACAAGAGACTAAATGCTAACAAAATTTTACTGTGACTTTCTTAGCTCTCATTTATTTTATGTTTACAATGAATTAATGAGATAAAGATTGAAAAGGAAAATTTTTCTTTAGTTGTAAAAGCGTGATTACATAGATAGATTTAAAATGAAAAGCATTTTCTCCCGCGTAAAGAAAAGAAGTTTGGACTATGTGCATCGA